ATGATATCTTAATTGCCTTTTTGTTCATATTATGAAATTTTAATGGCCTTCTGAGCTTTTACCTTAGTCTGTTAGCCCCTCACATCAAGGCTGGTTATGACATCATTTGTCAAACATTATGTCCCATTTGTCATTTGGGAGCTACTAAATTATAAATGGGGCAACAGTTAAAGGAGAACGACCGCTGATGTTGTTAATACTTGTGAAAAAACAACCAGGACTAAAGCCAAACCAAGTGCAGCCAACCAAAGTCTTTATGTGTGGAATATTTGTCTTATGCTATGCTAATTCTTTGACAGTATGATCAACAGGGAAAGTATTGCACTAATGTAAAGGTCCCTCAAAGGGGCCTTCTTATGCTGTATGGGTATTCCCTCTCCTGTAATGTGTTATACAGGTCATGGGGCATATATGGTCTTCAAATGCTACACCCCCTCCATAACATGATGACATCATTATGTAACACTCAGGCTTTTATTGGCTAGTCCGGCAGTGGTGATTGATTGATTGATTGATTGATTGATTGGCTCAGTCAGTAGGGGCTTGGACTGTGAACTGTAGGGTCGCCGGTTCAAGTCCCCGACCAGACCTAAATATGGATTGTGGACTGCTACTTGGACCTGCCCTGCCGTGGTGCCCTTGAGCCAGACACCGGACAACCCCCTTCCCCCCTCACTCCCCGGGCGCTGTACACTAGCTGCCCACTAGCTGCCCACTGCTCCTGGTACTAGACTCCTGGTACTAGACTCCTGGTACTAGACTCCTGGTACTAGGATGGGTTAAAAGCAGAGAACACATTTCACTGTGTGTGCTGTGTGCTCTGCATGTGTGACCATTACAGAGGGTTTCATCCCTCCGATTCTATCTATAATTCTCTATCTAGCACTCAAACACATTGTATAAGTGTAGAGAGAGCTGGCCAGCTAACCAATCAGAGAATTAGAGCAGACTGGGCTCTGGTTTCAGACAGAGGGTGAAAAGAGGTGCTGCAGCACAGGCAGTATTAGAAAAATAAAGACCTTTTTTAACATTAAAGCATCTAAACATGTCAAAGTAGAGGCACAAATACAAATACAAATATGAACCTTAACATTAGCATATTAGGTATGTAAATGAATAACTAAATATTTTGGCAAACATGGTTATTCATCTCTTTTTTTTGTGATCACATGTCTCTCATATCTACAGCTACAGCAAGTAGATGGTAATCCTGAATTAGCATAAGGACTGGAACACATACACATGGGCTTTTCATAGCAGAAAAGCCCATGTGTACTATAGTATATATAGTATGCAGTTTAAGCTATTTATTCCTTTTTCCATCATTGTGTAACTTGCACTATTTTACCACACGTTTTGTTACTTATCGCTTTTCATGTCTGAAACAATTGTATGTTGCACTGTTGGAAGAGCTAGGGACTTAAAATGTTCCTTGTCAACAACAACGCTGTAGCTTTTGTGAGTATGACAATAAAGCCTTTGAAACCTTGAATTGAGGTAAAGACTGTTTCCAATTTCGACTTTTTTCGAAAATATGTTGTGAAAAAAAGTTGTACAGTCAGGAAAGTATTGTATGCCTGTAACAGATTGTAACACGAATCAGAACAATTTTATTTTCTTATACGAAATAAAGTTTTTGGGCACAGATTCGTTAAAAACTACCTTCAATTTGTGAGTTATTGCATCATTTAAGGCTTGGTGGGACAACTCAGAGATTCTGCTTTGAAAAAAAAAAGGTCTATTAACATGTGCTGGAAGGCAATATTTCTCCTCTGCTTCCTTTATGTTAATTAAGCTAAGCTAACTAGCTTCTGGCTGTAGCTTAATTTAAATGAAGAGATATGAGAGTGGTATCATTCTTATCTTACTCTCTGCAAGTAAGTGAAAACATTTCATGACAACTCCTTTAAGCATGTTTCAATTAAAACTGTGATTAAGCTACAGTTTTGCTAATATTAGCCTCAAAATCTGTTTTCACAAGCTTGTTCTTAACATGTCATGTCCTTAATTCTACCTGAGAAATCTTGCACCTTTAACATTCTTATAGTCTCTTTTTCACAGAAGCCATTATGACAGGAAATGCACCAGAGTAGGCAATATAATAAACTATGACTGAATTCCATTCAGCTGCTTTGCATTTCACAGCTCCCCTGTCACTCTGCCACTGTGTTAACATTAAAAGTAACACCTTTGCATTTACTACCACGGCTGTCATAACTCATAATGACTGCTCTTACAAAGGGATGTTTGTGCAAAGAGTTTGGTGGAGTAATTCCCAGTGTAGCTCCACCTAAGGTCAATCTGAATAGAGAACCAGCCAGCCACAGTGATGCAGAACACCTGTGGGCGTTTACCACACATGTACAATGCAAAAGGTTATATTGAGCCTACATAAGCGAAGGAATAACAAGAAGAAATGTTCAAGCTTACACCTTTCAAAGTGTTCATGCTCGATCCAATCTGACACAAGTTAGCAGGTAGTTATTGCCAGAGATTGTGCACACAAACAGAACATTAAACACTGTCATGTATGTCTGTACGCTATGGAAACCAAATACTGTGTTTATTTTATCTGAGGAATTGGTGATTTTAATGACCGGAAGAGTTAACACTCAGGAAAGTTGGGCTTTTAAAGCTAGTCTGCCAATCTCACTGCTTTTTATTCGATTATCTGTTTGTTTTTGTTTTTTAAATGAAATTCATTGCATCTTGTTTTTTCACTATAGGACTTTGTATGTTGTTGTATGCTTGTAAAGAATGTTTATGAGTATCTAGAAAAGTGCCATGTAAATTAAATGTGTTATTATTAATACAATATTCAAAGGAACAGTGCAGAGACTATTGTGAAAAGGACATTTACTCAAATTCTGAAGGTCATTTTTGATGTACTTTTCTCGAGTATGTTGATTTTATTAGCCTTAACGACTGCATTTCAAACTGCAAAATGTAAAGTAAACGTACAAATGTATTTGTATTGCATGCCATCAGTCCATACAAGATAATCAGCTTCAGTTTAATACAGAGTTAAGCTCAGGCACACCATTTTATTAACATTTACGTTCACCTACTGAATAAAAACAAATAAAAAAATTCAGGCAGTAGGCATATATTAACCCTTAAAGTATGAGCCTACAGACAGATTACATAGAATAACTCAAATCTACAACAAAGACAATAACTGCTAGTAATCCTGTTTCTAAGTAACGTAACAGTTACCAGATTTCTTTTGTATGTAACTTTAAGGGAATAGAGTCACCTTTTAATGATTTGTATCTTGTTATCCCGATTACATAATCCCGTTACAAAAGTTCAATTATTGAAAGAAAGCTGTAGGCCTATAGCTGTCAACTGTTCAAACTGTGATCACCAGTTCAATACATTTGACAAATTCGACTTGGTTTCTATACTTATTTGAACATATTTATTTATTTAAAAGAAGAAAAAAAAAATGTTTGCAAACATTTTTCCCACATTTTTTTTTTTATAGGATATGTACATTTCGGTTAATCGGTTAACCGTTTTTTTGGAGGTCGAATATTCGAATATACATTTGCTTTCAATTCCCATCCCTAGTAAGAACCAGTGTCCAAGTTCCCTGGTCCCCTTTCATACAGCAATGTGCTTTAAAGGAAAAGTGTGCAGACGCGAGGGGGCGACGTCGCTCTGCAACACCCTGTCGGATCCAGGGAGGGAGGGGGGAGGAGGGAGAGAGGGAGGGAGGGGGAGAAAGAGAGAGAGAGGTAGAGAGAAAGAGAGAGAGAGGCAGCGAGAGGAGCTGCTGTGCTTCAAGATCCGACTCCAGTGTCAGCTCGATTCAGTCACACAGCTCCGGCTCAGACATGGCTGGAAATTCATCTAACGTCTCCCCTTTTGTTTCTTTCTGACTTCTATGGCGAGATGCAGAATCACGAATCGCGAATCTCGCGCTGTTTAATCCGCCGCACAATGGGCACGTCGCTTTGCATTAACTGGCCGACATTGTTGCATTACATTTGGAATCAGAGACGTATGCTAATTAGCCTCAATTACGCTCTTTTTCATATTTTTGTCATCATCCTCCAATAAGTAGTTAGACCCCCGCTACTACTCCTCATTTGCATTTTTAATTTATGCCTTATGAATTAAATTAGGGTGTGATGCAACTTCACTACAGTTAAGGCCAGTACGGTGGGGGGGGGGGGGTTAATGATAAGAATGGGAAGATAGGGGAACTAATAGACTCCAGGCTATTAGCAACACGGTGGGACTAAAGCATGGCGCTTCATTACACTGAATTAAAGGAAGTCGTGTGTGATGCTGCTCTGATGGAACCTCGGATCGCACTGATGCTCGCGAGCAAACAACACAGGAGATATTACTTCATTTAAAATGCTTTCTACTGTTGCCCCCCTATTTGTGTTTCTATCTGAGAGAGAGAACGAGTGAGAGAGAGAGAGGGGTAGATGGTAGATTTAATTACGTAAAGGGCAAATTCATGACAGTCATTGTACTTTTATAGCAATCTCACATCCATTCGTTACACTAGAGGTGAAGAAAATAACATTATTTTATGATTAAAATGAATAAAAGCATTTTTTATAGTATGATATTTCAGAAATTCCAGCACTCGTTGTAATTTTATCCGCACAGGCTTTGCCAACTGTCAGCCACAGTTATTCGACTTTCTTAATTCACTGGATGTGTAAAACATTTAATTTCCCTGCTACAACTGAGGCCGGACCCGGAGGAGAGAGGGTAGAAGAGAGAGGAGCGCAGTGGCACTTAACTGGTTTTGTTAAGAGGGGCCCGGTGTGTGCTCTGGCTGGCGTCGCGGAGCCCCAATCAGGTGCCATTACAGCCGGTGTTTGAGCATACCATTGGCTGGTGGGGAAAGGAGCTGTGCGCAAAACCAACCTCGCTGCTCACAGTCGCCTTACAGAAGCCGAGCTGCAAACATCATCCGCTTTGAGCGCTTAGGCGCAGTGATTACATGCTCTCAGAGAGAGAGAGAGGGAGAGGCTTTATTTAGAAGTTGCATTTGTGGTAGAGTTGCAGTGCGTAAAAGCAGGACTTTTTTCCCTTCTCGTGTGGAATTTCCTATGTTGTTTTGTGACTTTGTGTGAAGAAGAGGCTGTCTGTTCTGAGCACAGGGAGTGTTGGCTATGCGTCCTGGCTGCAGCCTGCAATGTTTGCGCTGACGCCAAAACTCACAGACCGGTGCAGAATTGATTAAAACAGAGGAGCTCGGATCAAATGGCTGTGCTTCTCACAGCTGAACCGACACAATGTTCCACTGACCCGAGGCACAGGAGAGGAATTTCACAATCGTGCAGCCTTGTTGCTGTTTATTTCACTGCCTTTTTGCGGACAGAGGAAATGGGAAATGCAAATTTCTTGTAAGAAAAAGGAATAACACTTTTTTTTTTCATCTTGAAGTGCACTTTGTGAGAGGAGATGATTTGGTTAATACTCCTTCTCTCCATCCTGCATGGAGCTGTTTCTCAGCTACACTACTCCGTGCCAGAGGAGCAGGAGCCTGGCTCCGTGGTTGGGAATATTGCAGAGGATTTGGGGCTGGACATTACCAAACTTTCCGCTCGCCGTTTCCAGACGGTGCCCAGTTCGCGGACACCTTATCTGGAGGTGAACTTAGAGAACGGAGCGCTTGTGGTGAAGGAGAAAATCGACCGAGAAGAAATCTGCAAGCAAACCACCCCGTGCCTATTGCACCTGGAGGTGTTTCTGGAGAACCCGCTGGAGCTGTTTCGCGTTGAAATTGAAGTGATGGATATCAACGACAATCCACCCACCTTCCCTGAGACGGACATTTCCGTGGAAATATCGGAGAGTGCCATCCCCGGGACCCGTTTCCCGGTAGAGAACGCTTTCGACCCGGACGTGGGCACGAACGCTCTCAGCACATATGCCATCACGAACAATAACTATTTTTACCTTGACGTGCAGACACAGAGTGACGGGAACAAGTTCGCGGAGCTGGTGCTAGAGAAGTCTCTGGACCGGGAGCAGCAGGCTGTGCACCGCTACGTGCTGACGGCTGTGGATGGGGGCATCCCGCAGCGCACCGGGACGGCTCTCCTGGTCGTTAAAGTGCTGGACTCGAACGATAACGCGCCCACCTTTGACCAGTCAGTGTACTCTGTGAATCTGCGGGAAAACTCTCCCGTGGGCACTCTGATTATCCAGCTCAACGCCACAGATGTTGACGAGGGACAAAACGGCGAAATAGTTTATTCTTTCAGCAGCCACAACGCCCCGCGGATAAAGGACTTATTCAACATTGACGCCAGGACAGGTAGGATAGAGGTGGCGGGAGAGGTGGACTACGAGGAGAGCAGCACGCACCAAATTTACGTCCAGGCTAAAGACATGGGGGCTAATGCGGTCCCCGCGCACTGCAAAGTGCTGGTGAAACTCGTGGACGTGAACGACAACACACCGGAGATTGGTTTCAGCACTGTGACCGAGTCCGTGAGCGAGCAGGACGCCCCGGGCACCGTCATCGCACTTTTTAGCGTCTCAGACCGGGACTCCGGCGAAAATGGACACATGAGCTGCGAGGTTTTGGGAGACGTTCCTTTCAAGCTCAAATCCTCCTTTAAGAACTACTACACTATCGTGACAGACGGACCGCTGGACAGAGAGAACACAGACTCCTACACCATCACCGTGGTGGCCAAAGATAAGGGGCAGCCGTCGCTCGCCACCAGCAAGTCCATCAAAGTGCACGTCTCCGATGAGAACGACAACGCGCCCCGCTTTACGCAGGCTGTTTATGATGTGTATGTGACTGAGAATAACGTACCCGGGGCTTTCATCCACGCTGTGAGTGCCATGGACCCTGATATAGGACAAAACGCTCTCATTACCTACTCCATATTGGAGTGTGAAATACAGGGCATGTCCGTGGACACGTATGTATCCATAAACCAGGACACCGGCTATCTTTACGCGCTGCGCTCTTTTGACTACGAGCTGCTGAAGGAGTTTAGTTTCATGGTGCATGCTAAAGACGGTGGCGCTGCCGAGCTCTTCTCTAACGCCACTGTCAATGTGATCATAGTGGACCAGAATGACAACGCACCCACTGTCATAGCCCCCATCGGTAAGAACGGCACAGCCAAAGAGCACCTGCCGCGCTCTGCTGAGCCCGGGTACCTGGTGACGCGCATCATGGCTATGGATTCGGATGATGGCGAAAACGCACGGCTGTCCTACAGCATTCTGCGGGGCAACGAGATGGGGATGTTCCGCATGGACTGGAGGACGGGGGAGCTGAGGACAGCCCGCAGGATCTCCCCCAAGAGGGACCCGCAGGGCTACTACGACCTTCTGATCGAGGTGAGAGACCACGGGCAGCCCCCTCTCTCCTCTTCTGCGAGTGTGAGTGTAATATTAGTGGACAGCGTGGTGGAGGGCCGCAGTGGGGACCGCGGCTCGGCCTCCAAGGCGAAGGAGACCTCCCTTGACCTCACCCTCATCCTCATCATTGCCCTGGGCTCTGTGTCATTCATCTTCCTCCTGGCCATGATCGTGCTGGCCGTGCGCTGCCAAAAGGACAAGAAGCTCGACCTGTACACGTGCCTGCTAGCCGGAGAGTGCTGCATGTGCTGTGGCTCGTGCTGCAGCAGGCAGGCCCGCGGCCGGAAGCAGAAGAAGCTGAGCAAATCCGACATCATGTTGGTCCAGAGCACCAACGTGACGTCAGGGGTCGGGCCCGTGGGGCAGGTGCCCGTGGAGGAGTCTGGTGTGGGCGGCGTGGGAGGGGGCTTCGGCTCCCACCACCAGAACCAGAACTCCTACTGCTACCAGGTGTGTCTGACACCGGAGTCAGCCAAAACGGATCTGATGTTCCTGAAACCGTGCAGCCCCTCCCGCAGCACGGATACGGATCACACCAACCCCTGCGGCGCCATAGTGACGGGTTACAGTGACCAGCAGCCGGACATCATATCCAACGGCAGCATCCTCTCTAATGAGGTAAGAGCAGCTTGAATCAGCCATCACTGAAAGTGGAAAAACACCCATGATTCAACCCAGATCATAGATATCTACAGAGATTCACGCTCTGTGTCTGCTTCACGTCAAAGTCTGTTATCCACCCAGGTCACGCGCAACACAAGTCCCGAGAGAATGTGGGGGGGGGGTAGTGAGTATCTGCTATTGACTTGGCTGTCCTGCTCGGTGGCCTTTTAATCATAGTCATGCGTAATGGTGATTGGACATGTCAACGTTCGAATCTTGCGTGGCCTTTTAGCTTCATTCGCGGTAGTGGTTCTATCAGATCAACCTTTGGGGTCGTGCGCAAAAGGCTGAGTGTGACAGGGAGTTTGACTTTTGGGTAGACACTGACTGCTGATAATTTTACTGTCGAACCAGAGTTGGAAGGGATTATTCTGTGTTCGGTTGAAACAAATCCATAAACAAAAAAAAGTTAAAACCTCTGACTTGGGTTTTCAATATGTGGTTTACCCGAATGGCAATGTGTTTCAGACCATAGTGAGTGAAGTGGAAAAATGAAAAATGCACACTCATTTGAGTTTAGACAATTGCCAAGATGCTTGCAAGACAGTTAGATTACATCAGCAGCCTTAATTAGCTAACCCTCATAAAGAACAGGCGTTTGCAGCTGATATATTATTAATCTTATTAGGTTATACAGTTTGGGCTGCTCGTATCAGCATGAAGATAAGGGGGACTTGATAGCGCTGTTTTGTGTGCATTCTGCTTGGGGGAGCTGTGGACTTTTTTTGTGGAGCTTTTTTGTTGATTGCGCTGCAGGGCTGGAGTGGAGCCAGTCACACACAGCATTGCCTTTGCTGCGCGTTAAGTATTCCGCTCACGAGTCTGCACGGCAGCACCGTGAACAAAGGTTGTTCAGTCTCAGCGTCGCGCGGCTCAATCATTTACGCATTCAGTCGCCTCCCCTAACCCACTCTCCCCTGCTCCCGTCTCCTCTCGCCCACTCACTCACCGAGTGGATGCGCGCACTGACGCCCCCACCTCAGTCCTCCTTCCTCCGCCTAGCTCATTCCATCACCGTTAACGCGTTGACAGCCAATGTATGAGGATGAAACTCAGTGGTGGAATTTGACTAAGTACATTTACTAAGGTAGCATGTTTAGGTACTTGTACTTGAGTTTATCTACTTTATTGGAGGTGCTCTACTATATTTTGTAAGCAAATATCCTCCACTACATTTAGTTTGACAGCCATAGTTACATTGCAGTTTTGGATGATTAATAATTAATGCATAATGATGAATAATGGAGGGTTAAGCTACCAAGCAGTACATTCAAATTAGCCACATTTTAACTAGATGCATCATTAAAGTGATAATTGATCTATCAATAATTATAATGTAATGCGGAAATGAGATTTTCTGCATGATGAGTACTTTTGGATTTTTACTTGTACTGAGGATTTTCACATTGTAGTATTGCTATTGCTGTAGTATACTGCTGTATATCCCCTGCTTATTTGTTAATGTGTGTATTTAGCATTAACTGTAATCAAATGTGTTTGTTTTTTCTAGACGAAACACCAACGAGCAGAACTCAGCTACTTGGTGGACCGGCCCAGACGTGTCAACAGGTATTCAAAAGCACTCAGCACTTACACACAAACACACACACCGTATTATGATTGCCAACGTGCCGAGCCTACGAGCCTCACACCAGAGGACCTGTAACATCCAATAGGCCTCATGGAGCTCAGGCTATTCACAGATCTATAAAATTGAATATTACATCCATCAGTGTGAGTCCCGTATACTCTGCATCGTTAATTGTGGCTTTGAGAGGCTACATGGTTCCCAATGTCTCCATAACGTTCATCTTCAATTTGGCATTCGTCCCATAACTGACAGAGCAGGGCCTATTACGCCTCTAATGCTGGATTTCATTACATGCCATGTGAAACATCCAATTTCGCCTCTTGACGGCCACCGTGACTGTATTAAGGCGGTGTTGATTTCTGGTTCTCTTTCTCTCTGCCCCCTCATTTAATCCTCCTCTCCTCTCTTCCACCCCTCCCTTCTTAATATTGTCTCTTGACCTCTGTCTTTGACCCTTCCATTATTCTCATCTCTGTTTTTTCTGACACCACCTCCCTCCCCCACCTCCTACAGCTCTGCATTCCAAGAGGCAGACATAGTCAGCTCCAAAGACAGCGGGCATGGCGACAGCGAACAGGGCGACAGTGACCATGATGCCACCAACCGGGGTCATTCTGCCGGTGAGTCCTCCCAAGCGGACCAAATTACACTGTCATTATCCACACATACACCCTCCAATCCTCCAGTTTCCATAGAGTGTGTTTGCAATTGTGAATGGGATAATGCCGAGTTTGTGGTGCGGACCGGTGGTTTTTAATTTCCTTAATTTGAGAGTGTGAATGCCGGGGCCCCTGCCTGGCATGAGCGAGCCCCAGAGGTGTTGATTGTATTTCACACCCGGATGAAAGGGAGGAATATTTGGGAGAGATCTACTTTTCCTTTTTTTTCTCTTTGCCTTTCTCTCTTTCTGACACCGAGTGGTGCTGAAAGGACAGCGACTCGCAGAGAGGCCGTTTGAGGCCCTTAGTGCTTTAGTGGCACACATCAATAGGTTCTCTCAAGTGAAAGGGAAAAGGCTTGGGATCTAAATTGATATAATGAGATGCGTTTCAATAAGCCACGCAGTCGGTGTGTTGTACTGCCTTTGTTGGTTATAGATTCAGCTGAGCAAGGACATCAGCAGCTTTTGGGTTCTTTGTGTTGTTGGCAAAATCTTTGCAGATTTGGCACAAGTTAAGGCAAACATAAAATGTTGGAATTAGAGAACATTTCCCGCACTTCAGCTTTGTTTACTTACTCTCTTCTACATTTTACAATGCAGTACTTTTTTTCCCCTTTTAGACACGGTTTTATCATAAGCCTTGTCCTGTTCTCCCTCAAATTCGATTAGGTTAGTACCTGTTTATTGATCAAAGTGGAGTCAGACAAAAAAGTGGAGCAATACAAAATCTCATTTCATATTGAATTGCCCTTTTCCTTCTGAGGAATTGTTCCACGTGAGTGCAGTAAGACCCCTGTCTAGACCGGAGCCTGCCAAATATCATATCAGTGCTGGGAATACAAATAGACTGGATTAGATAGGTGTTGTAGGATAGTGAATGGTGCTCATCAGGCTCCATGGTGTTTGACATTATTAATGAACCAAGCCAAAATAGAGAGCCGATATGCAGCGGTGGTGTCACTGCCTGCCCTCACTGATAAAGCAGGCTTGGAAGGTCAAATCTGTGCGAGACTGAAATACAGAATTGGAAGAAATCCAAAAGGCTTGCTTATTTTTCGCTGAAAAGTACATTGTTTTTGTGGAATAAATATTAACAAGGGCGTTTAATCATACTGAGTTGTATGTTAGTTATTTTTTAAACAGATTTCAAGAGATAGAGAAGGTATAACAAAGAAGATATGTTTTATGAATTTGCGATGCATCTTAAACTATGTATCTAGCAGTTAACATCATTTAGTGATAAGCCAGCCCTTAAAGGCGACAAATTATGGTCACTTTTTGGTTCATACTTGTGTTTTGGGTTTCTATCAAAAAGTGTTTACATGCTTTAATTTGAAGAAAAAACATTATTTTTCTCAGACTGGCTGTCTCAATATACTTTATTTACCTTTTAACATAAACGATCCGTTTTAGCGCCTGTCTCTTTAAGACCGACTGCAAAGGTTGTTATTAAGCAGTAATTGGTGATACTCAAATATAGGCTGGTGCTCTCTGATTACTTATAGGCTTTATTGCGAAGAAAAAAACTGATAACAAAATATTTATTTTACTAAATACTTCAATAATACAATCAATATTGCAAAAATACATACCGAAGCTCTAACAAACTATTTATTTTCTTAAGGCCCCCTTTAAAACATATCTTATGCTAAGTAATTGCCGTGAACTCCTTCTGACTGGTTTGCTCGCATATTTAAAAGGACCATATTAATGAACCGAGGACATGTTTCCCAGCTTTATTTGGCTACAAGGGCGCTCATTTGGCACTGGCCGTGGAGTGTGCCCAGTTGGTTCTGTACTCTGTTCGCTCGACGAGCAAACCAACATTTGTTCATCATGTTGGATTTAGAAGGGAACAGCTTATCGCTCCATGGGAGGTAATATCTAGTGAGTGGTATTTGGAAAGAGGGACAGTTGAGTTTCACATACTTCTGTAAACAGCAAAACCAGATGGAGTGTGTGTGTGTGTGTGTGTTTGTGTGTGTATGTGTGTGTGTGTGTTTGTGAGTGTGTGTCTATAAAAGGTATGCCATTGTCTGGATTAATATGTAGGCGTATAATACCTGTATGTAATCCGCTTGTGTGTGTTTTGTGTAGGAGAAAGAGAGGCTAGGTGATGATGTCTGTATTGAATCCTTTGAGGCGGGGCTATGGAAAGCTTAAATGAGATTCAGTTTAAAGAGAGATAGAGTGGTAGCTAGTGCCTGGCACTCTGCCATGAGCACTGCATACTGCCTCTATATAGGCATACAAGAGACTCCCTTTATATAGGGATGAGAACATTATTGTTTGGCTACTGTGGGTTGTATGATATGTTTGTGTGTTTTGTGTGTATAGGGGTTTCATGCTGGTTACATTTCAAGCTGTCCACAATTAAATAAATGATTAGTCAACTAACATGCGATTTTGACGACAAATGGACCATATGTTATACATCATTGTATCCAGTCCTTACGACCCCCTCTGCTTAAGTCATCATTCAAACATTCACACCCCATTGATACAGAGCAGTGTGCCACTTGCTAACATTCACACACCGTTGGCCATGCCGATTGAAAGACGACCGCACTACCTCAGTCCCACTCGCCCAATTTTTGCACAAAAGCTTGGATGAAGTGGCTTAATCAACAACATTTCTAAAACTAAGTTGTTCCACCAAGAATCATGCAAGAGCACCACCTACAATCTTCTTTTTTTTTACGAATTGTTTGGACCAGTTTAGCCTTTATAAGTGATCTTCCCATATGAAAGTGTGAGATAGGGGTGATAACAAGAGTAAAGGGACTGCCAGCTCTACCAAATGGCCCACCATTTTAAATCTCGTGTTTACTAAAGATGTTCTGATAAGGTTCTTCACCATAAAAAAAAAGGATGGTAAAAATAAATCTTAGTTGACTAAGACCAAAAACTAAGTATGGCACGTGTATTTGCCATGAATTTCTGCAGCGTTTGCATAAGTAAATATGGATGTGCACATTCATATGCACACATATGCAGAGCATGCACCAACAGTGTGTACACTCTCATTTTGGATGTGTGTTTGTCACACACACATATTCTATTTCAGGGTTTTGTGGCAGGGTCTCATCCCTCATTCTGTCTCCCCCACACGTTGGCTCTCCGCAACACTCGGCTGATCAGTAATTCATTTCTAGAACCTTTGCATAGCAATTATCAAAGGAGGGCTGGAGAGAAGGCTTCCTCACGGGACCAGCGCGGCACACTCTCCCTTTTGGTGCACCTCGGGAACATTTCAAATCAAGGGGAAAACCATTTCCAGTTGGCATATCATCAACTACACCTGCCGTGGCTTCCCGCTCGGCCGCTCGTCTGACACTTTAGAAAATAAGTCTCTTGACTAGGTTTTAAATCAAAGGGACGCTTGCCTGTGAGGATTGGATATCAGCAGATACCTTAAAAAAAGTGGGCAAATGGCTTTTCTGAAAGCTGCGTGTCTGGAGTGAGGTACCGCTGTGTCAGGAGCCAAAGCACTATTGATTGACTGCAACACCTCCCAGCCTTTTTTTTATTCTTAGATCCGAATAAGACTTGGTTTACCTCTTTAATTCCCATCATGAACCTAATAGGAGATGAGTAAGCAAAATAAAAAAGGTGACAGACAAGAGAGGATTACATATTCATTGGCGAAAAAAGAAAATAATATTGGCACCTAAGAAACGTTCGATCAGATGTGGAAGGCTGCGTGACGGGTGGCAGACTGGAAATGATCATTATCTTGACGTTTGTTGTGGTGGGAACAACAGCCGTGACAAATGGGACAATTAAATCACTGTGGCAACGGTGTATTAGATGGCTGATTATGAATTAGTGGCGGGCACCGTGTTGCAGTTTCCCCATGTCAGCCAGCTGTCAGACGAATTTAGCACACAGGGTTCTGAAACACACTCCTCTCAGGCCAGAGATACTGACAAAACTGTGGGCTGTGATCCCTGACTCTATCATCAATTACACCGAAAATACTGTCTTAGGTTAATATCAAAAGCTCACTTAATGAAAACATGGAGACCTTGCTGAATGCAAAGGACAAGAAGTTGTGAAAAGGCAGAATGCTTACAAAAGACAATAGTTGCGAAAAACTGACCCAAAAATAGTCAGTTTAGGATTATGTAAGGAGCAGAAAGTCCTCGAATACAAGTGGCTAGAACCGGAAAATGTTTTGAAAATGTACTCACAAGATGTCACAATCATTCAATAAGGATAAATGACACCAGAACATCTTACAAGTACAACTTCTAAAGGCTAGAGAAAGTAAATGGTCCAACTTAAGGCTTCAAAAGCCCACAAGCAGATGCAAACAGGAAGTACAGTATCTCTATTTGAAAAGGAGAAAATATATGACAGCAAATTGGATAAAAAAACATAGCCTCATTAAAAAAAAAAAAAATCAATTTGCATTTAGACTGCTACAGGTTAGGATGTCACCACTTCTTATAAACTGACTGGCTGGTTGACTATCAATTGAAGTCACAGTAGACAAAGGACAAGATCAATTTGATTAACTAATTGCCTTGATTTCTTTGATTACTTTTCTTATCTCAAACAAAGCACGTACAAAAAAAAAGAAATATTACATGACCTTTTCATAACGCGGTTAAGGTTGATGGAGGAGTGGATTCACTGTGACTTACTGAGTTCTGTGTGGAAATGAATCCAAAACTCAAACTCATTCATGAAATGATTAGCAAAACACTGACGCATCTCGTCGAGTGGCTCGGTGAATGTGTGAATGGTATGAATAGGCTGAGCTTTCTGAAGGAACTGAATAGCACATGAAGTGTTCTTCTCTGAAATGGAAGAAAAAGGAAGTCATGAGCCCTCTTGAATAGGGCCTCAAATATGCTGAAAACATGAGATCCAAAAGAAAGAAAGAAAAGTTGTATTCTTACACTGGGTCCTTGGATATTTAGTTGAACATGAGGCAGTTAATGGAAATCTCAG